TACACTGTAAACTCTACCTCTAAGGAGTTATATCCTGCAGTATTTTACCTTCTAGGCATGGGCAAAATGAAATCCATAACAATTTATTCCAGAAACTGAGATCCAATCAGCCTTTCTCAACCTTTTTACTCAGGTCCTAGGGAACTTCTGCTTAAAAAATATTATATCTACAGATAAAAAAAGTAGTTCATTTTTTACAATCATGATCGTTCAGAGAACTCTTAGTGATCTCTCATGGAACCTTGACTGTGTCTACAGTGTCATCACTTATCATTTTTAATGTTGTAAGCCGTCCCGATTGCTCTGCAGAGGAGCGGGATATAAATAAATAAATAAATATTATTATTATTATTATTATTTGGTCCAAACAATGGGGCCTTGGTATCTGCTGGGGTTTTGTTCCAGGACCCCCATCCCCAGATAGCAAAATCTGTGGATGCTCACGTCTCATTATACACCATGGGGTAAAATGGTGCCTTTAAAATAAAATGGCAAAATCAGGGTTTGCTTTTTAGATTTTTTTGGGGTGGTGGTGGTGGTGGAATATTTCCAAGCTGTGGATTGTTGAACCAGTGGATATGGAATCCATGGATATGGAGGGCCAGCTGTATTTAAATTATACAGTGCAAACTTTATTTTCATACACGGTGAACAACTCATACCACTCCAGGTGCTATTACATAATTTTACTACTTCCAAAGGACTGGAATGATGCACTGTATAATTTAATCATTGCACAGCATTCTGACACTATTTTAATTCAAAGGTTTTACAAATTGGGTGCATGCCTTTGAAATCCAGAAATCTGGGAGGACCCTGACTTGTTACAAATGATACATGCTGTTCAACCACAGATTGATTATGGGATAAGAAACAGAAACCTGAAGTAACAGCAAACATAGCTACTGTAGCTTCAGTAGCAAAAAGACAAAACAAAAAACACCTTAAACTGGCATCCTTTATAAGCAAAAATGGGGCAGCTGGCATATAAAGATCAAAAGATGTGAAGGCAGAAGGCAAGATGATACATTTGGCTCACATTCTTGCTGACAGGACTCTACTACTTAGAACAGGGGTGGGAATCATGTGGCCCTCCAGACATTATTGAACTGCAAGTCCCAGCAGCCCCAGACAACATAGCTAATGATGAGAAATGCTGGGAGCTACAGACCAAAAACATCTGGAATGGCTACATGAGTCCCATCCCTGACTGACAAGGAGAAATCTTAATCAACCACTATTCATTCAGAGGTTGTCATTCAGTTATAGCAACCACAGAATGGTTGCTTTTTATCAGTTTGTTTAACTGAGTGGGAAACCTGGTGATTTATGTGATGCTTTGAGAGAAGTAGTTTCTATGTGCCCCTGTCATAGGTCGGCTCATAGCTGAAACTCCAGCAATAATTCTGTTTCAGTTTCCTCTTGAATCCTTGAGAGACACTGTGCAGGTGCTTATGGAGAGCAGCTTAACCACTGTAATGTTGCTAGAACAGCACAAAGAACTATCAAAAGCAATATCCTTCACATTTCTCTGTCTGTTGCAAAGAGAAAACCCCCACAAACCCTGCTGTTTGAAAAAGATGGTGTATGAAACTCCAAAAAGAATACTATACTACATTTGTGGTGGTGGAGTTTAATGTACTGTGTGCATTAAAGGGAAGATCATAGAATCATAGAATCA